TCTTGTACTAAAACGTTCATTTTAGTTTTTATACTTTTCAAAATTGACTGTTTTAGTCCATAATTTTATCATGATACTTAACTCACTTAATTTCTTGAAATGTATCCATAAATTTGCATTAAAGAGTTTCAATTGTGTAAAAATTTTATGTTGAAGTGTTGTAAATAGGGTTTAAATTGGCCACTTTTTAAAAATACAATGATCAAAATAGACATTTTGAAAGTAAAAACTAAAGTGAACCAAATTTGAAACTAAAATAAAAAGATATAGGGACCAAATTGTACGTGAAAATAAAAAAAAAAACAAAAAAAGGTATGTTTTAATCCCTTATGTTTTGGTATTATCTTCAGACTACTCTTAAAAATGTTTTAATTTAATCTCCTATGTTTTGACACCCTTTAAGCTTTAACTATACTCTGTGTCGATGGAATTAAGCTTTGTGAGTTTGACATAAATTTAGAGAGGAAGTTGAGCTATTTAAAAGATGAAAAATTAAAATTTATGTCAAAAAGGTGGATTTTCTCCTATTAAGTGACAAAAAGTGAGATTTAAACCTTATACGGCATATTAGTTCGTATATTTTAAAAAGATTTACTTAGATTATGATCGATATATATATTTTAATGCTGAAAGAGACTAAACAAAAGTATAGTAGGGACCATACTATATCTCACTCTCATCGCTACTCTATCTCTCTCGTTTTAGTAGTTTTGATGGATAAAATAAAATTACATTTTGATCTAGAGCTTATTCATCCGTATTCCAAATTTAGAGAAGTCTTAAAATTTTGCTCCCATTAACTTTTCTTTAGAAAAATAAAATAGTCTCTATCTCAACACTTCCTCTATAAACTATATAGAAACATATTTACATTATTATTTCTTTGAGTAAAAATTATTATTGTTATTATTTTGTCAAATTAGATAAAAATTAACTTCAAACCATTAACTAATCTTAACATTTATTGAAAATACATCAACTAAATTTGAACACATACAAAAGTTCGAGTACATTGACCAAAATTATATTTTAATTGAAAATAAAATATTGGTTTATATACTATTTTGCTCCCTCCCACTTTAGTTCAATTTGATTTCTATACTTTTTAACTTTTATTAATTTTAGTCATTTACTTTCAAAACATTGGTTTTAGCTCCTCTATTTTTTAAAATGAACCAATTAAGTTTCTATTTGCAAAATTTTTAACACAAAATCTATGAACAATGTAAACATTTTAAGACTATATCTTAAGAAATTTAGCAAGTGAACCACGCTAAAATTGATGGAAGAAATGAGATAAAAATAAAACAAAATTGATAAAAATAGTCACTTTTTAAAAACATCGGACCAAAATAGAGATTTTGAAATTAGTACCGAAACTAAAATGATCAAGAGTTAAAAATATGGATACCGAAACAACAATTTTGAGAGTACATCAATTAAAATAAACCAAACCCATAAATTCAATGAACAAAACAATAATTCTTTTTAACTCATAATCTTTTAATCGAAGATAAACGTCTTAATCACTTGAACTATATCCAAGTCCACGAACAAAAGTAGTATCTAAACCTTGAAGATTTGTTTGGTTGATGCATAGTGATATCACTTGACTATCACTTTGGCTTAGAAAGTGGGGGATTCCACTGTTTTCCCTCTCTAGTTTTAGGAGTTTTTAAGGGCAAAGAAAAGAAGATTAGGGCATTGGAAATTGAAGTGAGAGAGAGAGAAAGGGAGACAAAGTTCTGCAAGTGGGGACTGTGGGAAAGAAAGAGGAATTGATGATGAAAGGGGAAGAAGAAGAAGAAGAAACAAAAGAAACTTTAGCTTATTTTGCAAGTAAACTTCCACAACTCAAATCTCTCACATAGAATAAAAACCACACCATTTCACACGCAATGCACAAATAAAGAGGCCTCTCTCTCTCCTCTCTCTTTCTCTCTCTACTATTTATTATTATTATTATCGTCTCTTCCTTTTCTTCTTCCACAATCATTATTACCAGACCCATCTCTCTAGGGTTTTCCTTGGTGCACACGTGGGATTATTAATAACCGAAAGGGGCTCCTCGGAGAAATTTTCCGCATTCCCGTAGTACTTACTCTTTCTGTTCACACTATAAATTTTTTCAAACTCGTGTCATCCATATTGCAATGGTATAAAACGACTTTTCGTTAGGATCGATCTAATAAAAAATTGACATCATCGTGAGTAGGGATGTTTATGTGAGAGGGTGGGGACGGGGAAGCCTTTCCTGTCCTTGTAAAATTTTCCTTGAAATTTATGGGGATTTGAGCGGGAATTGAGCTCCTTGCGGAGAATAATTACCTACTTTTTATTGTTATTTTTCAAAAAATAATTTATTGATTAAATAACTTTTTTATATAAAAAATTCTAATTAAATATTTAATTCCCAACAATGAATCTCCATTTACGTGAATTCTCATTGAAACGAGAAAAAAAACTAAATACTTAGGATAATTTGAAAAAAATATGTATATAAAGGGGGCAGAGAACAAGGACAAAAAATAAATCTCCCTATTTATTACAAATTTTTTCTAACAATTTGTACAACTGTCAATTTGCTATTGGATGAAATAAGTATTTCTCCTACACAATTTAAATGCATGAGTTTAGCCTATCCCAACAATAAAATAACGCAGTCTTTTGTGGACCCATTCTCATGTTTGGCTTAAAATTTTGGATAGTGAATAGTTTTGGAGCATTGGAAAGCCTAAGTGTGTATAAAAATAAAAAAGGTCAAAAGGCAATTTGGATTTGACTAATTTGTGTTTAGTTTGTTTAGGATTTGTAAAAGTTAATATATAGTATATAAAATGTAGGTCTTGCAAGTTTACGGATTGTATAAAAAAAAATTTAGGTTAATAGAAATTTAAGTTTATGTAGCTCATGAGAGATTAATGAACACAATCATTATAATATAAGATAATTCGACAATATTTGATGGTTCTTGGCTGGTTAAACTTATATGTTAACACAATAAATAAAGGTACTTTGAATCTAAGGCATGAAGTTGTTTCTAATTAATTTGATATAAGTACTATTACACTCCTATCTTTGGTGAATTTAGGATGACAATATTCCTAGGGAGTAATATTGTGAGTGAGTTTTTCATCTTTCCCTCATTTATTACTAAAGTTGAAGATTTCATTTCATAAAGTTAGAAGATACGACCTCCACCCTACAGGTAAGAAAATTGCCTTAAATTCATTACTCGGAGAAAACTCTCTATATAACTTAATCCCATGAGTCCATGAGTTGTCTAATTCGATTCGTCTTATGCCAAAAATTAGAGATGGAAACGAATCCCTCTATTTTCAACACATCAAAAAACTAGATCAATTAAAAAAAAAAAAAATGGAAGAGGAAGAAGAAAGGCTTTCGAAACCTAAACAAATGAGATGATCATGATTCGATTTCCCAATTTCTTACCAACCCATACTTTTCATCGTTGTACTTAATAGAGATAGTTTTGTTGATCTAACTAGGTTGTGATATGGTGGTTAAACTAGTCGTTGAAGGCTTGATATTAGTTTGTTGGTTATTTAGGCCTAGTTTGTCAACATTTTCATTTCTTATTTTTATTTTTCTTTTTAATTTTTCAAAAACATAAACATTTCTTTAGGTTTCTTATTTCTCCTATTCTCGAAATGTTTAGAAAATTAAGTAGAAATTCTAGAAACAAACAGAATAAAGGCCCGTTTGGTAACACTTTGCATGATCCTCAACACTATTGGATTCAAGAATGATAAAACAAAAACTTTATTTATGTTGTAACAAATTGTGAATAGGAACAACAAATAAGAAACTTTTGTTTTTGTTATTTCCAAAACTTCTATACAATTTTGAGAATATTTTTTAAAAAATTAGAAACAAGAAACATAAATAGTTGTCAAGTACATAGATTTCTTAATAAAATTAAAAACGAGGACGTTACCAAACGGGCTCTAAGGTTTCTGTCTTTTGTTTTCATTTCTAATTTTTTCCAAAACAAAGAAAGTATAATCAAAATTTAAAAGATTAATTTTTCATATAAAATTTTGCCTTTTTGATTTAAAATTTTAGAGAACAAAAAACAAAAAATGTGTTCCTCTTTTTTTTTTTTTTTTTTAAATCAATGGAAAAGGAAAAAAACAAGAACAAGAAATTATGTTTTTCAGGCTTCTGATAGTTACAATCATATTATAAACAGCATTGTTTAAGTTGTAAAATTAGATTTATCTTTCATCAATAATAAAATGCTTCTCATATTGGTTTACAGTTTGCCAAAACATGAACCTTTTAAATTTAGTCGTTTCTTTATAAATTTTCTCCAGACAAATATAAATAAGAATGCTTAGAGATCGAGCAATGAAGACTAAAATAAAAACACTTTTTAATTCGTATGATTTTGAATTAGGTATTTATTTAACCGACAGTAATTGGGTAGTAAAACATATTAATTTTACCTCGATTAACTAACAGTCAATTCAGTCAATTAACTTCAAAAACCATTCAACGCCATTTCTAAAGTATATTTTCAGACACTAAACTAAAACGTATTTGCCCACAATTTGAGAATATAATAATAAGATAAAATTGATTCATATTCAAAATTTTAGAATAGAGTTTCTACTTTTATTGTACAAATGTTCCCTACTTTCACATAACCAATTAAATGACGAAGTTGAATGTCATGCTCATTTAATGAAAAATAATAATTAAATTAACCTGATTTAACTAAACCAAAACAAGTTCGATAGTTCAACCCAATCTAAACAATTAGAATTGAACTAAAATAGAACAATTTATAGCCACAGTGTTTTAAACACCATGATAAGAAAAGTGATTGAGAAGCTAATAAATAAAACTAAAATCTAATGAACCTTCTTTCATGAGAAAAAAATACTTACACCAAAATATAGAAAAAAAGAAGCTCGTCTAAAAAATGCCAATTCAAAATTTTAGTCGAATATTGTAAATAGTTTCACTCACCATGATTCAATAAGATATATGAAACATTGCTGATTATAAGTGAAAAATTGTTGGACTTACTCAAATATGACACAAAAAAATAACAGCAATCTAAGTTTCTGTCAAAGAAAACAAAATTGCTAAACTGCATTAGTTCAGATAAAAATAGAGCATCACACAAGCAACACTAGTAATTGAAACAGTGAGAGATTCGTGCGACATAAGGACACTTGTTTCTCAAATGCAATGTCTAAATCGATAAAATTAATCCTCTTCCTCTCCCTCATTTTCGGCAATGTTGAAGTACCTGAGTTCATAAACGTTCCTATCTTTGTTGGCAGCGATCACTCGTAGCCAATCCCGCACATTGTGTTTCTTCAGGTACTTTTTGGTCAAGTACTTCAAATACCTAACCAAACAAAGACAGGATAACATCCATCATCATCCATTTTCCTTCCCTAAAAAGAAATTAATTTCGGAAGAATTCGAGTTCAAAGGCCAACTGCTGAATAATTCCAGAAGAAACAAGAGAACTTCAGCAATAGATATCACTTGGTGAAAATAACCGACGACTGAAGTAGTGCGGCGGGTGATTAGTGAATGAATAAATACAAACATATATCGGTCAGTTGACATCAATTAACTTCAAGAACTGTGTACATACTATGATAAAATTAGCTTATTAAAAACCTTGCGGTAATGGGAGCAAGGTGAAATAAGCTAAATAATGAAATAAACACTGAACCACAAATCATAAGTACATAGAAAAAAATGAGCATATTAGGCACATCACATAGCCTACAAGATCACAAACTAAAGAATATATCTCTAACAGTACTTGTATGCGTGCTCATATATTCACAAACAAGCTCCAAAATGGAGATATTCAGAACATCAGACAATGGAAAATAAAAATACACCAATTTTACCAACTTACAAGCTATAAATATTGAAACTAATAACAGTGTTTGGGAGTCAACACACACATGTTCACATGAATGGAGGAATCATCAAGTATCACAACCAACGGTTCAATATGAACAGTCTAAATTATTTCAAACATAAAAAAATAGAAGAATAGAAAGCAGCCCAAAAAATATTAAGGCAGTGCTCTCAAAACAATGCAGTGGAAAGTAGCCCTCATGAGGTGAATTTAGCACACATTCAATCTTTTCATTTTACAGAACCAATATCAAACAGCTAACAATTCTTTTTTTTTTCATAACAAGGAGTCAGAGATTTACTCCCCTATATCCGTGTCACCATGCTTGCCCCAAGACCGTACCCAGAGGACCAGGGTTCTGTGTATTAAGCACCCGAAGGTTCAAACTTAAACCTTGCCAACAGGGCCACCATTTAACGATTTTTCAATTGCAAGCAAAATTTGCAGACATAACAAACCTAATTTTCCCTTCGCTTTAACAAATCTAAAATACTACCAGGGCAAAATCCAAATCCAAATCCAAATCCAATCATATTGATATATCTCACAGAAACTCATATCCGTAACATCCATTACACTAACAAGTAACAACACTCAGAATCGGCCGCGACATTGATGAATAACAAACCATTGATCTCAAAGGAGGGGGAAGAACATGTACCTCTTGGAGAAATTACTGTCAGAAGTGACGGTAATTTTACTCTTCTCACGAGTAACAGAGACGGCATCGCCAAGCGCACCGGCCTTGCCTCCAACTTTAATCCTCTCAAGAAGAAACTTCTCGAGCGAAGCAATGTCCATAATCTTATCTTCCACCGGCTTCGAACAGTCGATTGTGAAGGTTACTCCCTTCTTCTTTCCCTTGGGACCTGCTGCACCTCCTCGACTCATTTTCGATCAAAAGTCTCTACAATCACAAATCCCCAATCGAATGGTGCCTCAAAAAGAGATGATTTCGAAGCAATAAGATTTCAGAGAGGAAGAAAGAAGAAGACGTACCAGTTGCTGCAGAAAAGTTGAGGATTCAGAGGATCGACGGCCGCCCAATGAAGCCACGATGACCTAGGGTTTACGTTATATAGGGAGAGAAAATTGGGCTGCGGCTGGATTCCATGAATATGGGCTTCAAAGTTTGAAAAAATAGAAACTTTACATGGGCTCAACCCATCTAAATTTTTTTTGTCCGAGGAATTTATAATTTCATTAATTTATTTTTTGTTTTTTTTAATAGGTTAAACTATCAGTTTAGTTTTTGGTTCTTAATTTTGTGCCTTCATCGACTTTGTACTTTTTCTCTTCCTTTGTTGTTTTTTGTAATTCATCAAATTGTTAAACACAAAATTAAATGATCGCAGTGTTATATCAAAAATAAAGTTGAATCTTTTATCTAATAGATCCATAGATTTTAAAAATTTTTACTGTGTCAAAATTTTATTGAATAAAAATTAAAAAATTTAGAAATTTGGTATTCTGTTATTAAAAAGTAAGCTTATAAATATTACATCAGAGGCCAAAACGAGCATAGTTTAACACTAATTTGCATATATCTTCAATCAAGAAGTTATGAGTTCGATCTCTCGTCCCAACATGTTGTACTAAAAAGAAAACAAAATTGATAACCTAAGGCCTTATTCTATAAGTGTTCATTTTCTACCTATGTCAGCAATTTGTCTCGGACAAATCTTGTACATAATAGAATTAGTTTGTATTTTTAATATTATAATAAAAAAACTTATGGAAAATATATTATTTTATAGTCTAAATTACCTTTACAATTAAAAATAAAAATAAATAGATAGACTAATAATAGGTACAATTTTCATGGGAGATGTTCTCAATGGCCACCTCGGCCTCTTCCCTTCCATGACCATCCATCTTCAAACGATGGTACGAGGGTTGAAGTTTGGACTTATTGACGTACTCTAACCCCTTCTACTCTCCCCTTCTTTCATCCTTGAGGGTTTATTTACTATGTTCGTTCAAGAATCTTTTCTTTTTACACAATATGTGCCATGAAAGTATTCTTGAATTGTTGTTATTCAAGGTCTAACTAATAAGATTAGGCAATCATATCTCGTTCATTCTATCTTCGACAGCATACTTATCAATATGAAAGCCAAGCTAATGAGCTAAACTAGTTACAATTTTGTAACAACTTCTTGTAATGGCGGTAATATCATGGTCTCTCCCTTGACTCCTTATAAATGTACACTCACTCCTGCATACAAGTATGCAATTTTGTCTAGAACTAACCTATTTAGCTCGAGTTTTAGATTGATTTGGGTGTCATATAGTGTTTATTCATTGCGTGCAAGTTTTCTTGCATAGCTCGGCAAGGAGAAGCTTGTTGCTATTATTGGCTCGTTAAAATCCTTATCATCATAAGGCCTCATAATTCTAAAGGTGTTCATTCTACCTATGTCGCAAATAGTCTTAGGTTATACATGCTATAATTAACAAAATTTTCATAATATAACCGAAATAGATATTGATCAATATAAAGATTGCACGATTAATTGATTTAAAGTAGTAAATCAAAATTTTGTTTAAGAACGAAATCCAAGGACGTGTTCTTGAATACATGGCGAGCTCCAAGCTACACCCTTCTCTGCTACCGAGCATCTAGCTTCACCACAACTACATGCTCTCTCCTAATTCTTTGGCACTTCTTAGTCCACAAGAGACTTGATTTTCTCTCCATCTTTCTAGGCAAATAGGTGACCCCTACTTGTTCTTGTCACTTGGGCGGCCAACGTCTAGAATTGATGGTATTAAGATGCCATTGTGTCAAGATATTTTATCCATCTCAGAAGGACGTGTAACGATAAAAACTACTGACCATCTTCTTGTTCCTAGCCGTCTGTTACAAGTTCGAGAAGCTAGGAATTCTAAATATGAGGGATCCCTCCAAATAGAGAGGGGTGGGCAGGACTTCTGCATGGGCGTCCCCCTCTTACTAGTAGTGATGGCACATTCTACTTCATATCTAGGGAGGGGCATTGAAATCCTTCCCTTTGATAGCGTCTTAAGAATGATTTTGGTGAGGGGTTCTCTTAAGAATAAAGGAGTGAAATATAATCTAATGCATGTTCATGCAAAATATAAAATTTATTTCATCATATCATAAGAGAAGAAAGATCGTAGCGTAGAAAAGAAATTTAATTTCAAGGCTTTCTACCAATGACCGGAGACCAGAAAGGGGAATCGAGAGATAAGCCTTGAGCGGTCAGACCAATTACGATCGATTCGCTAAAAATTCGACGATTCGAGATGAGCTGCTAAAAGAAGGAAGAGCGATAGAGAGAGGTGGAAGGAAGASAGCCTCTCATGCATTACCAGAAGGAGACAGCGCGGAGAGCGTTAAGACCTAGAACTTCAGAACGTCAGTCAGTGATTGCGCCATAACAGAGTGCGTTAGGGCGGGAGAGATATTCATTAATGAAATTCATAGGGATTGCGATTGCAATACTTGTTAGTTGAGCTCATTTCTTTCCATATATACTCAACATTATCCATTTATGTTATCGATCAATCTATACTACAAATAAAAGATATAAAAGGGACGATTAGAGAAAACAAATTTCTCCTCATTTTATTTTTCTTTATAGCTCATGAATTCTCAAATAATATATTCCCGACATTATCAATTTATAAGTTTCAATTGTCTCTATACAACATGGTCAAACTTCACATTTTTTTTAGTTGCTAAATTACTTTCTCAGTCTCAGAACAACAAAAAATCTAGTAGTAAAAAACTTCAAGAAAATTATATGTATAATTCTCGACTAAATGTTTAAACGAAACTCAAATAGTCAGTATGGAAAGAAACCTTCATAATTGGTCTAATAGGAAAATAATTTATAAAATAGGAAATTTTGATTTCATGCCATATTACCATATAAGAATTAATTAACAAATAATTCCAGTCAATAAAAATCATGAAACTTTTTATATGTTTTAAGAAAGAAAAATATAAATTCATTTCTATAAGATAAAACCCTTGCATAGATTAGGCGTAAATGCCGCAATAATACTATTACTGCGTGATAAAAGATTTATTATTTATTTATTCATATTTGCCTTTTTTTTTAACAGGGAAATTATTTAAATTTTGTTTGAATAACAAATTTCATCTCCAGCGTTTGGGCTTATTTCAATTTGATTTTGGGTGTTTTTAAAAGTTTCAACTTTACTCGTTTTTGTTTTTGTTTTTGACTTAGCACTCTTAACCCATTTGGATTTTTTAGTAAATTTTACGTTTAACATTTTTTTCTATAGGAATTATATCCATTGATTCTTAACTTTGAATAAGATTAATAGTAACGAGAAAGTTATTTGCCTTTTCCATTAAGAAAATTGTGAAGAAATTGACCTATTCAAACTCAATATTTTACTCTTGCAAACATTTACAACTACCGCAGAATTAAAAATTATTAATCAACTTGGCTGCAATAGTTGAAAATACTATTTCTACTTTGACATATAAAATTTTAATGTTTTATTGACTTTCAACCATGAATGCAACTGTTTTTCTTTATAAATTGGTAATCTTATTTTTAAAAGCATAGTAATTTATAGAATTTTATTTTTGTAACGATGGTTTATAGATTGAATATGGATGGTTTTACTCCATTTATTTATATTTTGTAGAGTACGTTTATCCATCAAAATTCACTCGTAAACTTCTCTTTCAAGAAAAAATAATCTACTCCTTTCATTTATACTTATATACATGATTGATTGGTATACTGTTTTATTGTGTGTGACGTTACATTATTTTTTAATATTTTGACATAATAGATAATGAATGAGAATAGTACGGTTTTTCTTTTTGAAGTTAAAATATAAATTTGATCTTTGAAATTTCAAAATGTGTCTATTCATTTTCTGTGTTTAAGAAAAACTTCTAATAAATCTATATTTGACGTTAACTCCAATAGTTTAATACTTACTTAACAGATTGACTATATCATCTAAAGATTACGTGACAGGTTGATTTTAGCTTGATTCAAAAGTTCGATGAGGTAAATGATACATGTATAAAGTTAAAGTATAAGACTAAATAGATAAAATCCGGAAAGTTTAAATATTAATTACTTACTTTCCAAACGTTGAACATCTTTTATAAAATTAAAGAAAAATAAAACAATAATTAAAAATAAAAAATGTCTCTTCAATGAACTCATAAGACCTTCAAAACTTACTAATCGTGGACCTAGTCAAAGAATTTACTATTAACCATGGAGTAGACTTTCTCAAGAACTTTCTTTTTAAAAATTGGATACATGCAATGAAGACAAACTATTTATTAATCAATAATTTGCAATGTAGAAATTCAGGTTTCGACTTTTAAAATAACTTTTACTCTTCTCGTCTCTCATATTTATTTTATTTTCTATTTTGTTTTCTATTTCATCTTAAAAAATATATAAATGTTTTTTTTTTTGTTTATTTTGTTTTCTTTGAGGAGAAACGTTTTTTTATTTCAACTTCAAAAGTATTTTTTTTTCTATTTCAACTTCAAAAATATATACGGTATTTTTTTTCTTTATAAAGAAAAATATATACAGTAACTATAACCTAAAGTTGTTTAAATAATTAGATCTAGATATTTATTCGTATTTTGATTGTAGCTAGTTTGAACTATCATTTATATTTAAAATAATAATAATAATAATAAGTAACTTTCATGTTTTTTCGTTTGTTAACAATTTTTTTTTTAATTTCCTATTTCTTGTTTTCATTTTTTTTCTAGACATGGTAACTGTTTGCTCTTTCAATGTTTAAGAAAATAATCATCAAACATTTTTTTTACAAGATTAAAAAAGGAAGAAACAATTACGGTACACAAACTTTTTTTCAACATAAATCCAAATTTGCAATAGTTTGGTAATGCCATGAATCCTTAAAAAGCATTTTTCAATAGAAATCCAAAAATTGCCATGAAAAAGAAAAAAGATGGTTTGTGATTTTCAAATCTTTTATACAAGGTAATAGAGTGATAGCTCCCCACAAAATTATCTAGGTTTTGTCAAGTATTTATAAGAAGGAACTAACATAACAAATTCTTCAGAAAAATGATGGCTTTTAACTCCTGATGAAAGGAGGACCAAAAACGGCAGATTCAAAGCCATTCTCAAAACTTAGAAACCACTTAAACAACCAAAACGAGTAATTGACAAATATCTCCAATCAAGACATTGTGAGTTTGATCTATCTTGTACTAAAAGTTGTACTAAAAAAAACAACTGAAACAGAACTCCTCATAACCAACATTTCATTCATAATACAAAATCATTCAATTCACTTTCATGTTTACACAAAGAAATTGCTTACATGACCTGGGCAGAATGAGTGACACCCCAATATTAATAGCTTCGAAATTAGTGAGAAAAAAAAAAGAATGGAGAAATAAGAATTATAAGCCTCTCAATGACACTACTTTATTACCATCCAGTGTAGAAAGGGAGAGAGAGAACTTAGTCCTTGTGTGAGTAGTTATCAATTGGAAGAAACTTGGCATATCGCTCCGCCTTTGCTCCTGATTTGTGTTCATAGTATTCAACAACAGCAGCACCAGCAAGAGCGGCTAAGGTAAGAGCCTGTGCGTGTAACCTGACAGTGATTTTGAAGAAGCAACGCATTGGAATCAGATATCATACAGAAAAAAGCATGGAAAAGGATGCCAATGTCGAGGTGTATCTACTAAGAGCGTTTTAGAAATAAGTTGTTAATAGCAAAAAGTACTTTAAGTATAATCACTAATCACTTTGATGGTTGGTTCTATGCCCCTAAGAGTATTAAGCCAAAAGTACTTTACAAGTGCTTTGTGATAGAGGGCCTCTGAATTTTCCCAAAAACGCTCCCACACATAGCCTAAGCCATCTAAAAGGTTCTATACATCTGCCTATGATTTTACTCCTCAAACTTCTGTCAAATTTTCAGTCTGATCCTTCTTAGAACGTCTATCCCCTTTCTATTTCCAATCCTCTATGTTTGAAATCTCAATTGTAATCCTCAAACTTAAATTAAATTCCATAATTAACCATTATTGTAAAGATAGTAACATGGATATTGAATAATGAGATAACGAGCAGAGTTGCATCAAAGATGCAATGCGCTTCAATTATTACATGACATTGAAAAACAATGAATAGATGAGAGATGATTAACATGCACATAAAATAATTCTGATCATATGGACATAGTGAAAAATGTTAAAGTGTTTTCAATCAATTAAAAATCACAAAATATGAGAGTGTTTTTGGTGTTCATCATCAAAACAAAGCATTCTATCATATAACAAGCGTAAAAAGATACAAGGAGGGAGAAGAAGGACTGAGAGCTGCTTGAAAGCTGTTCCAAAATGCAGTTTTCAGATTTTAGAACAAAAATTAAAGAAAAACATGTTCTCATAGCTGTTTTTTCTCCCCTTTTCTTTTGAGATAAATCAAAATTGTTCTACTCTCCAAATCAGGGACATAATGATTAAATACAAACAATCTCAACCGTTCCAAGCCACCCAAAACATCTCTCCAAACAAAATTGGGGGGAGGATACTTGTTTTCTCAAAATAGCTCCAAAACATCCTTAAGATTTAAAAACTCAGCAAGATCCCCAAAGAGGGATGGTTTTTTCAGGCTTTCATCAAATAAGGTCGATTCATTTGGCCCTTCTAGAATCAAAATTCCATTGACATGCAGAACTATAGCAGAACTCCAAATTCTAGGATTAAGAAACAAAAACATCAACAATTAAGCACAAAATTAGAAACTCACCTAGCGTGGATGATCTTCACGCTGGTCTTCATATTAGGTTGAGACCAATTGTACGCAATAGAACCCGCTATTCCGCTAAGCCACAGAGACCCTTCACCCCAAACGATACACAACAATTAAAATTAAACAAAAACTCAACTAGACCACAAATCGAAACACAAACCGCCGAAAAGCACAATCAAAACGAAAATTAGAAGATGAAATAGACGATTGATTACCAACGGTACGAAGCTTGTGCTCGGAAACCCACTCCCTCAGGGATTCGAGTTTGCCCTTAGATTCGGCCATGGATGACGGAGACAGAGAATCAGAGCGCCGAAGCAAAAGGCAGAGGAGAGAGATAATGAACAAAAGCAAGAGGTAGAGAGAGAAAGTGCCGCGGAGGTCGGTTTTGAGAAAAAATGGCGAAGCTGTATGGAGAGATTTATTTATAGGAGAAGGAAGAAAAGGCGAAATTGCAAAACGCCTCAATTTCGGTGGGCGGCGGGCGGAGCGAAGAGAAAACCACGTAATTAAATAATGTATTTTTAAATGATAACAAAAAAAGAAAAAAAATGTAAACTATATGTTTTTTCAGTACAACATATTGGAGAAAAGATTTAAATTCATAGCTTCTTGGTTGGAGGTATATAACAATTACCACTAAACTATCCTTATTTTGGCAGACAAAACTATATGTTAGAGTCGGATTGAGAGTTTTTTCAATCGAGTAATTCAGTGTGTTTATTTATTTATGTTTTCTCCCTTGATAAAGAAAAATAGAATAAGATAGTTGTTCAAGCATGGTAAAATAATATTTTAT